TGCGATAATAATAACGCAATTCAATCAAATGATTTAATATTATATTTTTTCCATTTTCTGTATTTTGCTCTATGAAATTGTGCGGCGTTCAACTTGTTAATATGTTGAATGCATCAAAAAATGAATTAAATTGAATGTTATCATTGTATGTTAACGCTAGATTTACTGACATTTACTGTACAGTTTGTTCTGTTGTTCTTAGAGAAATTGTTATCCGTTCATTTGGATCTTGGAAATTAGAGGTTTAAGAGTAGAGAATTAGGATACATATTTGCATAACTGCGTTAAGAAAAATCGACCCAAACATTTATCAAATAATGCTTATGAAATTCAATATGAGTCAAACTGACTCGTTCCGTAAATCTGGTGTTAATACTGTTGAATGTTGTATTATGTTGCGTTATTTAGAATATCGAATAGTTTTTAAATAGTCGTCGTTTGATCAAGTGAATTACAGTGGTTTGAGTGGACCAGTTGATATAAAAGATAAGTGGTAAACAGAATATTTTTACTAGAAGAGTAATAAATTTTTAAAGTACATTGAATACGCAAAGTAAATTAATTTAACTGAATTACGTTATCATTGCATATTAATCCTTTACAGTCGAGAGCTAATTCTCAATCACCGCTAGATTTGTACTAAAATTATGAAGGTTGTATATAGGTATAACATTCAGCTTTGAAATGAGCTGAAAGAGTGAAATAGCTTTGTTTCCTAATTTGTACGTTGCCTCATTAGTTACTTCACAAGGATACCGTCTATATCCCATTGAAAAACATTGAATATTCTCAGGGAAAGACTTTCAAGTGCAAAGGGTTAATCTTGTTTAACATCGCCGTGTTAGCTTGCATTGTTTATAATATAGAATAGTTCCCAAATTCTTTTCGTTTGCGCCACGACCTCGGAAACACCCTGTATACCCGCAAATACCCACACATGCGACGGGCAAACACACGGACAGTGTTACGGGCACAGCCACGCGTGGACAAACACTCGATAAAGAGGGTTGGAGAGGGTTAGCGGGGGTGAGGGAGTGAGCACGAGAAGGCGAGAGGTGTACAAGCCACGGAGGATCGTGAATTTTTTAACCGGAAGCGCACTGCGGTTTGCACAGCGTCCGCAGCTGAGGATCCTGGACGCGGCCGAAGGGGTGCTTCTACGTGACGGCCGGAAGCCCTTCCTCGATATTAAGGTTTAATATTTAACGGTAGCGCGCGTTACTTCCGGATACACTTGCTTTTTCTTAGTTTTATTGGCTACCGGCGATCTGGGTGCTGTTCTGCTCGCACAAGTCGAGGGGACTTCGCTTTCTGAATAAACTATTTTTTTCTTTTAGAACTCTTGGAGCTAATGGACAGATAAATATTTATTTTATAATATTTTTACGAGACGCAACCTAACCAGACTTCGCTTTATGGGTAAAGTACTTTTTTTCGAATTGTTGGAGGTAATGAATAGATAAATATTTTTTTTTTACAATAGTTTCACGAGACAAAGTTTGCTTTATGGATAAACTATCTGTTTTGACAGTTGTTAGAGCTGATGGATAGATAAATATTTATTTTATAATATTTTTACGAGACAGAACCTAACCAGACTTCGCTTTATGGGTAAACTATTTTTTTTCGAATTGTTGGAGGTAATGAATAGATAAATATTTTTTTTTACAACAGTTTTACGAGACAGAGTCTAACCAGACTTTGCTTTATGGATAAACTGTTTTCTTTTTAGTATTGTTAGAGGTGAGGGGTAGATTTATTTTATAATAGTTTTACGAGACGTTTTGTTTCTAAGACCTCAAAATAATATGAATTGTTTTGTTGGTAACAATATCTATCTCTCGCCTAAGACTATAATTTTAATAGGTTAAAAGCTGGAATGAATTAGTATTATAATTAGAGTAGACAGGATAAGTAGAAGTTTCCGTAAGAATTTACCGTTTATGGACGGCTAACGCAGAATTTTACTTACTATTCTTATCTTGCGCAATTTTACTCACCGCTCGATCGCCATATTTATAAAAAAAGGGAAGTTAAATTTGCAATAAAATGGTTCGTAAAAAATTTTACGAGGATGGGAATAAAACAGGAACTGTATTAAACTTTCCCGAAGTTTTGCATTTTAATCTGTTTTAGCCCATAAACTCCGCGGCCCAGTTATTAGACTGTCAGCTTCGCGATTTCCGGATGGACATAGCTTATATAAACAAATTGCTAGTATATTCTTCATAAAAACTTCATACAAAATAATTCCATACCGGATTAATGAACTAATACAAATAATTTACTTTCTTACTCTCGCAACTTCCAATAAAATCCCTCACATTGTAATATTCATTAACGTTATGTTTAAAAAATCAACCAATCCACTAATATTAATTTAAAACAACTCATAAATACGCTCAGCGTTATCCAAAACCAATTTCAACAAATTTCAATAACCATTTTCTCACCGATCATCACGTTAACCGTCCCCCAATCTCCAATTAAACCCTCAAGAAACAAAAACCACCCTTAAGATTCCCCAGTGAACGCGCATCCGCCAGTGAAATTAACGCACGCCCTATTTTAATTAATCCACCTCGCAACCCTGTCCCCGTCCCACGGTGAAAAAATCCGCACACTTCAGTAGCGGCGTCCAACGGTTCCCTTCCGCCGAGATTCCCTCCCCGTTAATTAATTCCTTCGCAAGGAGGACTCATCCATTTTTATTCGACGATACCGCTGAAGGAAAAAAACCCTCGATTCTCCGTTTCACGTGAAGAATCTTTTTTTCCCGCGGCCGTGGCCAATTAATCGATAACTACCCCTGCGCGAGGGAACTTCTTCTTCGTTCCCCTTTCACCCTCGAAAACGATCGACGACACAGCCGTTACATTATCCTCTTTCCCCTCTTATTCCCCTGTTTCGGGACCGAAGGTGGATGAAAAAGTTTCCTGTTGCCCCCGGGGGGCGGCGGGGGTGGCGAGGCTCACGCGACCTCCGGAAGGGATGCGTTCGAGGGCCGATAGCGCGCCGGATGTCGCTAACCGCCTCGCTCGAACTATTGTTCGGCGAACTATCGCGCGGAGACACCGGCCGGCGAGTTTTCTCTGAAAGAGGGTCGCAGTTTCTGCTAGCCACCCCCACTCGCGACCCAACTGCCGAAATTCGTGGGCCGAGTGGATGAACACGGTGCTGGAGACTAATGTTGGCGCACTCAATTGATGATTGGTTTGATAAATCTCCTGCGCTGGCCGATCCTGCGTGATTTTTCTAACCGGGTTTTCAATCTTTTAATATACTCAGGTTCAGGATTTTTTAATGCTAGAAGAATAGGGCGTTGAACATGATTAATAGTGTTTGTAGAAATTGGACTTTTTTTCGGCTTGTATGTTAGCTCTTTGCACTCTATAGCTTCTCAGTCTCACTCGATTTGGTAGAGTATATGGATGAAGTTTAACCCTTTGCGGACGAAGATTCTTTGAAACGTACAAAAGCTAAATTATATATCAGTTGATTAATTAATAGAAAAAAAGGAGACTAAGTGCTGATGTCTTGATGTTCGAGTAATTAAATCATTTGTTTGCGACTTAGTCTTCCAAATATGAAATTTTCGTCTCGCCAGAATATCGACATTCGTTCGCAAAGGGTTAATATTTAGTGTTTCATTGGTAGAAAACTTGTGGGGTGCAAAGGGTTAATTGTAGCATTCAAGTGAAACTATTTATTTTTTAAATTGTTTTGGATACTTAATGCTCTTAAGATATCAAAAATTGGAAGAAGAAAGTGTGGCTTGGTTAATGAGGTTTAATGGAGGATTTTGTGAATTAAGGGTGGATGTAGGTGGTGAAATTCCAGGTGGTTCGAACCGATAGAAATCATTTTTGAGATGGAATGTATGAGATTTGGTGTGAACAATGAAGAAAATTGGAATGTTTTTGGTGGTTCACTTTTATTTGAGGAAATTGAAGTAGTTTTATTTGTAGCTCTGTGCAATGTAAAACTAGATTTAGGTTACGAAAATTTGGGGTGAATTGGTTGAAATGACATTTTTGGAAATAAAAGTGGTTTATTTAATTCGCAAGAAGGTTTGAAAATTTTTGTTGTTTAGGAGAAATTCCTTGGCTGTTGTAATTCGACGAAACCGCCGAGAAATTGTGGGGAACTTTAGATCAAAATTGCACAATAACCGATGGTTTAAGGGGGTTGTTGGTAAAATGTGTTCGATGCAAGGGAAGCCCGCAATTTTATCGGACGAAAGAGCCCATCCAGCCCGGTGGTTTTTCGGCTCGATCGGCTCCGTTCCGTTTTAATATCTGATTCATCAAGGAATAAAGACGCGGGCTGCAGTTGGAGATCGGAATCCAATATTCGATAATCTTCAGCGGAATCACTTTCAGAAGACGATCATCCAAATTACCTGTCGGCCAGTCGCGTACTAGCTGACGATCCGATTTCAATTCGAAAAATTTGTTCCATCTGCTGGAATTGAACTCCTTCACTTTGAGTGGGCCACATCAATTGTTTTGTATTATTTTTTAGTTAGTCATATATTATTTCTAGCATGAAAAATATTCAATATAGCTTAGAATATTCCATTGATAATGAAATATTGGAGGACTCATCTCGAATCTTTGATAGTACCGAAAGTATTTTCTTAAAAGATAAAATATTCATTTTATCACTGTACAGATATAATTAGAAATAAATATTAACGAATAATAAATATTTTATTTTTAAGAAACCCTGTCATAATTTTGATATACTATTATATCATTTTTATTTTTGAAAGATTGAAAGTTTGCAGTACTTACAATAAAATATTCTTAATTTCTACAAGATTGGAAAATGGTTGGAATTGGTTCAAGTGTTTCCATTAAATAATAAAGAAAATCAATTGATCATCTCTAGTTTATAACCCACAATTAAGTAAAAAATATGTATTCACATATTTAATACGTTAATGGCAGAACATTGTGACAATAATTTGACATGCATCTTCTGATTTCGTGTTTCAGGTATTGGTTAGACCGAGGTGACTTCAAAATGGCGCTCCGATACATGAACCTCCTGAAAGGTGCGCCTAGGGCAGTCGCCAGGGATTGGATGAACGAGACGAGGATCCTTTTAGAGACCCAGCAAGCCGTAGACACTTTGTTAGCGTACGCTGGAGCGATCGGACTCGTGTTCCTTGGTGCTGGAGACGAGAAGGTCAGTCAAAAGTGAAAACAGGGGATGACGTATACCATCAAACTGCCAATTCGATGTATAGTACCTTGATTAGCAATAAATAGACCTCGGATTTTTATGTGATTTTCTATTTTTGTAGCAAAAGAACTGATAACCTTCGAAGAAGCAGTTAAAGTTAATAGGATTGATTTGCAGGGGTTTTTAACATAATTTAGAATTATTATATAATTCAATGAATTATTTGAAACTAAAATATGTCTGAAATATTTTCTTGTTTCTAATTAGTACTCTTAGTAGAGTTGAAAATATATTTTCTTAAGTGCAATTATAAAAAGTTTAATTTTTGTGGCGAAGGGATTAAAAAACTGAGACAAAATAAAATGTTGTTTATCCAGTGGAAAATACGGGTGTCGAAGTATTAAAGGTTTGGATCGTTTAAAAGTAATATAAAGACGAATGAAATTGCATAATAGTGTTTGTCCCGTGCTGTTCGAAGATTTTTAATAGCTATGAATGCATAAAGATCCATGGTCTAGTGGTGAATGAGACACACTCTAGTTTTTACTGTTATTCTGAGAGACACGTGTTGAACATCGTCCAAGTTACTGTATGCTCGACAGTCAACATTCTTTCTCGCCTAGGTCAATTTATTATTTTGCAATAAAAATCCTAATTTTATTTAATAGCTGGAAACGTGAATATATGTTTGGTCCGATTGTATTTTTCGAATTATTTATGATGATTCGTAGAATTGCTGAAATATAGAGAACTATTTATGTTGATTTCGTTCTGCTTTCTTTTATAATTATAGACTCAGATCATAATCCTATTTCAGTAATTAAACATTTTTAACTTCATCCATTTTATAACATGAATCATGCATAGTATACACGGAAAGTGTAGAAACAAATTGTTCGAAGGACGGAAAATTCTCAGAAGCTGGAGAACAAATAAAAGTTTCGTTTTTATGTCTCTCCTTCAACTTAAAAAAAAACGTGCCATAGTTTTCGTTGAAGGTACCTCAACGCGAACAATAAACTCTAAGAAGAATTTGTCAAGGAAGAAGAGCGTCAAATTTTTATTTCCCTCCTTCAGTCGACAGAAACCTGCAATAATTTTCGCCACGGTTACCCGTACACCGGCGCAACAAACCTTAAGAAAAAAATGTCACTCCGCGCTAAGTCCTAGAAACGCCGAAATAATAAAAGAAAACGTTCCGCTCGGATATAGCGAAAAAATCT